AACGTGTCTCCATCAGAGGTGTATATCAAAAGAATTATGTAGGTATTCCTTCCTGAACTCATAAAAGATTAGTTTTATTTTGTTTTGTGTAAATAGTTCTTGTATCCTGTTCTATATGTTCATAGGTTTTGGCAAAATAAGTGTTAAAAGTTCAGCCTAAACCCCTTCAGTGTGCAGAAAAACTTTAATGATTTGCACAATTTCTGTGTTAAAACATTGTAATATGATTAATGATTCTGTTAATTGACCAAAGGAAGAAAAATAAACAAACTAAAGTTGCTGTGTAGAGTTTTGAATTGTCGTGTGGGATCAGGGGTGACGTAGGTTTGTGGGCTGAGCATTGCACAAAATCTTAAAACCGTTAACCACAAGGAGGGTTTGAATAGGGCCCAGGAGAGATTGCTAAATTACTGAAACATGCGTGGATGACATTTAAAACCTCTTCAGGCAAAAAGCTGCAAAAAAATAATAAAATTTTGCACAATAGCCTCTCTTTAAATACAAAAAAGAGTTGCTTTGTTTTTACTTGTCATGTGAAATTTACTTAAATCAAGATAACGTTTCAGTCCGAGTCATTTTAACTTGGCAAGGTTAGACTTTTTGCAGCGTGGTTAGAGTAAGGGGGTAACGCGGCGATTATCTGGTTCCCATTTGTGTCAGTCACAGGCAGAACAAATGCTTTCCAGTGGGCCCCGGCCTCTGGTCCCGGGGCCGGTGGAGGGACAGAGCGAGTATGGGCCGGTGTTAAGCGCTTTAGCACGTACACATGCACTTAGCGCCGCACACTCACTACATTAATCATATGGGCTCTGGACTCAATAGACCAGGACTGAACTTTCTCATGAGGGACGGGAAAAAAGTGTAAAAGCCCTGCTGGAAGGTGAGATGTTTTATTCTAGCTTTTTAAGGCCGCATATAACAAACGATATCAAGTTTCAGCTTTATATTGAAACAGGAAAAAGGAAGTTTCTGTTGCAGGAGATGTTTTGAGGATTTTTCGCCATTCAAAAGACAGATTTGTTTTTTTTATTTCATTTTTCATCATTCTGAAACCCCTGGATTGGCAATTTTCTTACAAATAAAATGTTTATACGCCCTTGAAGAGCCTCTTAAAACACCTGCTTATTTGAGCGGCGAAAAATATTTAGTGTATAGTAGTGTAGAAGTACAAGAGACCGGTCTTGATCTCGAGATTGGCCTTAAGGTCTTGGTTTCGTCTCATACTCGAGCACTTTTGGATTTGGTTTTGTCTTGGTCTTGATGTCACTTGGTCTCGGTCTTGTCCCGAACTCAAGCACATTTGGACTCGGTCTTCGTCTTGGTCTTGATGCCGCTTGGTTTCGGTCTTGTCGCGGACGAGAGCGCATTTAGACTTGGTCTTGTCTCGGTCTTGACGGCCCTTGGTTTCGATCTTGTCTCGGACGAGAGCGCTTTTGGACTCGGTCTCATCTCGGTCTTGATGCTGCTTGGTCTCGGTCTTGTCTCAGACTCGAGCGCATTTGGATTCAGTCTTGTCTCGGTCTTGATGGTGCTTGGTCCTGGTCTTGTCTCGGACTAGAGCACTTTTGGACTTGCTCTTGTCTCAGTCTTGATGGCACTTAGTCTCGGTCTTGTCTTAGGACTCGAGCGCATTTGGACTCGGTCTTTTCTCGGCCTTGATGGCGCTTTCTCTCAGTCTTGTCTTGAACTTGAGGTCTGACACTCGATGAGTGTGATCATATTTTACTACGGAGGGTAAATGTGCAGAAGCTGCTAAATATCGCTGGTATGTAACTGTAAATGTTATGAACTTGAAAAAAACAACACTTGGTTCACTTGACTGCAGTTGTTTTCTGTAAAGTGCCTGTACAGTTTGCTTGTCTTATTTTTAGATTAGATTAACATTAACCAGATCAAATGGAGATAGGTTTATTGATATATATGTGCCAAGACAACTGTAAAATACAAATAAATGCAGGAAATGATAAAGATGGTCTTGATTTGGTCTTGAGGGGCCATGGTCTTGGTCTTGTCTCGGTCTCGACCTTTAAAAGTCTTGCTCTTGTCTTGGTCTCGACTCTCAGAGGTCTTTAACCTGTTTCGGTGGCCCCTGTGGTCTTGGACTTGTCTTGGTCTTGATAATTATTATAATTTTTATTATAGATCCATGATTGACACTGCAGCTGAACTTCTGGGGCAAATAAACCAGAGAAAATAAAACAGAATCATGAAGTATCAAGCTATTTTTCCGTTTAAAGATTTCCGTTCTTTTGAAATTCAAAAGAACAAATGGTACACAGACCTTTATGTCTTACATGTGGAGCTTTCTAGACACAGACACAATGACATATCAATAGAAACAAGCAGGTGACAGACCCCCAACCCAAAAGTTACTTAGTGCACCTTTAAATACAGTTCATTCCTAAACATGTCATCGTCTTGTACTCTTGTATTCCTCAGACATCTTAAGTCATGTCTCTCACGTCAGCTGATATCACACAGAAAGCTTTTAGTGTCTTCACAGCCTCAGACATCACTATAGAGCTGGTAATTATGCCCCGAAAGGTCACAGCTAATGCCCCCCTCCGCACCCTCCTTATGTGGGGCGGTTGTCCTCCCTCCGTGCCGACCTTTGACCCCGGAGCCTGCTCAGTGCATGCCAGCGCAGTGACGAGCGGCGGCACATAGGGACATAGACGCTTCAGTGAGTCATCGTCACGGACCAAAGTGAGACGTTACAAAGGACGAAACCAATGTTCACTGTGGATAGGTCATGATTTATCACAAGCTCTTATGCATAATACTGCTCCGTGTAATGTTAAAGGTCCTATAGCACACAAAACTGACTCTTGTGAGGTTTAAGTCGTGTTATAACGCTGTTACAAAACTAAAACAGACCTGAAGTTGTGTTTTTTTTTTTTTTTCATTCACGTTTGAATAAGGCTTCATTCTTATCGGATTTTTCGGACTATGAGTTGCACTTTTTTTCATGGTTTGGGTGTTTCCTGCAACTTATACTCTGGTGCGACTTATATATTAAAATTTTCACACTGGCAGCTGTGAGAGGCTCTAGTCTTGTGTGTCAGTATCTGCTGCTCCTGTACCACTGTCACTTCGCTCTACTGTGCATGGTTCCTGCAGAAAGAGCCTCTGTCCTGCTGCAAGTAGTGAAATATTCCGCCGAAAAAGGTAATCGAGCGGCAGAAAGAAAGTTTGAAGTGAGCGAGAAACTTGTGAGTGACTGGCGAAAGGTGGGGATGGAGAACACAGCTTCACGGTAATCGGGAGGATGCACCTTGCAACTTTCCTGGAGTCACTGGATGGATGGACAAAGCCTGAACTTCAGTGACACTGAAACCATCCTGTCAGGATTCAGAAAGGCCGGAATAATTCTAACTGGAACTGATGCTGAGTCTGACGACAGCGACACAGAAGAGGAAGCGGAGCTCTGTTTACCTCCAGAGTTGCTCAGAAGTGACACCGAGGATGAAAAATTTAATGGATTTATTGATTTGGAGTGAGATGAAGAGTTTGGTAAACTGTTGTTTATGTTATAGTTTATCTGAAGAACTGTTCATATGTGACGTTAACAGTCTGTTGTTCTCTCTTCTATTGTTTTTACTAGAGCTTGACTTTCAAGATGAAATGTCGGTTCCTGGTCTCTGATTTTATAATATACATTTCCTCCAAAAAGTACGACTTATAGTCCTGTGCAACTTATATATGATTTTTTTCTTCTTCATCACCCATTTTTTGGATGGTGCGACTTATACTCCAGAGCGACTTATAGTCTGAAAATTAAAGTAATCTGTCTACATCTCCAAAGCTCAAAATGCCTTTTACACTTCAACACAGTTCAATAGATTCCAGGGCTGAAATCTTCCAAATGATTCTAGTGAAGATGTGTGGAGTTTAAAAGCACGGTGGAGCACTTCCTCCAATCCAGTCCAACTTTATTTGTATAGTACATTTTATAAACAAAACTGTTTCCAAAGTGCTTCACATAGCAATGTAAAACATTTTACTTAAAAAAAAAAAAATCAGCAGAATTATGTTTCAACCATGAAGAAACTAATACAATAAATAAATTAAATAATAATATTAATAAAATAAATGAGCAAAAATAATAAAATCAATACATAAGACTCATCATACTTCCTGTATTTTATATTTTGAGAGTCTAAACCTAAATCTGCAGGTTTGTGTGTTAAACATGTGTGAATGAAACAAAACACAACTCCAGGTCTGTTTGTGATGAGGAAACATTAGAACATAGATCAGAAAATAGTGCAATAAAGCAAAAACACATACAAAACTACACAAAATAAGTAAATAAAAAGGACATAATGAAGATATAATGGAGAAAATATATGTGATGGAAAAAATAACTTACTACCGGAGACTTTTAAGTGTAAGAAGCGATGGTCAAAATGGTCTATTTATAAAGCTCACTCTAATGTATAATGTATTTTATTTAATTTATTTTTTATTTTTTGTAGAACCCCGCAGATTGTTCGTCTTTTAGGTACATCTGGTAAAATGTTGAAAAAGCACATGTAAAAAGTAAAAAATATATCTTATTATGAACAAAAAAGTCACTAATAGTGTTTGTGCAGCGTGGTGATTTTTTTCTTTTCACTTGTACACTTGACATGCTCTGAAATGCTTAGTTCTGATCTTTGTATTAGTTTAACAGTTCACATTTTCACAACTTTTTATTTCCAGGATCCTTCAGCGTCAGACTGGGCCATTATGTGTGTGTATGTGTGTACGTGTGCGTGTGTGTGTGCAGCACTGGCCACAGAGCTGGCGGTGTACGCTGAGGTCTGTTTTGACAAACCACTGGAGACCTGCTTTCACCAGTTAGCCTCCGCGCTCCTGCATGTGTTTGACAGTCCAGCTGAGAACTTGTTGACATGTTAGACAAACCTGGAAGCTGCCTCTGTGCTCCTCGGCCCGTGTGCGCTCGGTGCATGTGTATGTGTGTGTGACCGTGTCCTCTGTCCTCTGTGTGTGCGCAGACTGTGACTCCCACTGTAAGGCGTCCAAGGGCAAGATGAAGATCACCATGAAGAAGTACTGCAAGAAGGACTACGGTGAGTGTGTGGGCCAAAAGTTCACATGTCTCTGTTAATAATAATGCATTAGTCTTATAAAACACTTTTCCAGACACTCTACACTTTTGTGCAGTGTTCAGTCACTTCACACTCTGTAGTGGGACGATACTATTGTAGCCACAGCTGCCCAGGGGCAAACTGTGCCCGTGGCAGGCTGCCAATCTGCCTCATTGGCCCCTCTGACCACCACCATCACTCACACACACCACTTTCATACTAGGCAATGCGGTTGAAGTGTCTTGCCTAAGGACAGCAGAGGCCATTGGCGTCCCACTGCAGCATCTGGTGTTCCCATTGGTCTCCCATTCAAGTATCGAAGGTTTAGACACATCCATGTTTATCAAGGAGGAGCTGGCAGTAGAGCTGCTGCTCCATAGTGAGAGGATTGAGTTATGATGGCTCATATGTTCTCAGACACTCTCAGGGGCAGGACCCACTGGGAGGAGACCTAGAACCTGCTGGAGCGACGAGTCTCTGTGGTCTTACAACTCCTTAAGATCCTCCCCAAACCAAATTCTTCTTCTTTTTAAACTGTGCCCTTGGTTTGTTTAATCCTGATATAGATTTGGTTTGGCCTTGTTGTCCTGGTCAAGGAAGGAAAAACTGCAACTGTACTCAAGCCAGAGCAACTAATTTATTTCTTAATATTGTGTGATGTTTAACTCTTTAAGTTTGATTTTAGGAAAGCAATAATATTCTACCACCAATTATATAGTAACTGTACCAGAATACAGTTTCTCAAAAGTTAGTATTCTGAGTATGTATTTTAGGTACTTGTATTTACTGGTACCTTCCCAGCACAGTGTGTGCAAGAACAAAGTATTGAAGTATTCATAAATTCCATTACACCAGTTTGTGGTCATGCTGAATAAATAACATTTTCTGAAACCATGAGAGGAGAAATCCTGACACAGGTTTGGCCCCAGTAGCTCGATAGGAGCAGGTTGATTCCAGCGGCCCCTGCTCTCCCCGACTGTATGTGTCTTCATCTGAACAAAGTGCAGGTGGAGCGTCACTAAAGCTCTGACAGGCGTGCACCGTGTCAAATCTGATCAAGAGGAGCAGAGCACAGCAGACCATGGGTTCATAAGATCATCACCACATCACCACAACACCACAACACCACGATATCACCGCAACATCACCACAACATCATCACACACCACCACATCACGATATCACCGCAACATCACCACAACATCACCACAACACCACGATATCACCGCAACATCACCACAACATCACCACAACATCACCACAACACCACGATATCACCACAACATCACCACAACATCAAGCTCAAAAAACTGCACTCTGTAACTTTTCTTTTAGGGGGTCCACCACCCACATGTTTCTATAACAGTATAGCTTTTCCAGAAATGTGTTATGTGTTTTTAGTGCTGCCTTGTAAAGCTTTTTACTAAGCTAAGGCCACCTCTCCACAGATCTGACCTGTAACTTGGCTTGGAGGGGTCATCTACTTTTCTTAGTGGAGTTAGATCCATTTAATCCCAGAACATTCAAGTCAACACAATAACATCTCCATAGAAACAGGCAGATAGAAAATACTTCACCAGAAGAGTCACATAGTGCATGGTATATTCTCTTGAGAAATTATAATTTTTGTAGTTTAATTATTTAATTTGGCAGTAGAAAAAGTTTTGGATATTCTTTACCACTCTGAGAATATTATTTATTTTTTCCATCCATCCATTTTCATCCGCTTTATCCGGGGCCGGGTCGTGGAGGCAGCAGTCCTATTTATATTTTGCCTTTAGATTTACTCTATAGATTTACTTGTTATAATCTGAAAGCCCTAGAATTTTTAACTTTACATGATGTTGTGAGTTACAGTATTACAAACTTAATACCTTAACTTAAAGGTTGTATAGAGGATTTTTTAAGGGAAGAGCAATACAGCAAGAGTCTTTTTTCAAATGTTGCGCATGCGTGACACGATCTTCCTCCTCCCGCCTCTTTACTCTAGAAATCACGCTTGTTTACATCCAGTGCATGAATTTCTGTTGAAGTGACCTGTCTAGAAGTAATTTAGCGACCGACGCGTCAGTTTTTAGACCCTTTGTCAACTTCAGTTACGCCGTCGCTGGAAGGAATCTCCAAGAATCACCTCAGTTTGTCTTCGCTCCTTTTCGCCTTCTCTTCTTTCAGCGACCTCAAAAACGGATTTTCTTTGGCGGCGAACTGGTTGTGGATTCTCGTCCGCCATCGCAACAAACTTTGTGCGAATTGCGACGAAGCGACGGTTTGAAAAAGCCTCTAAGAACCGCTGCATAAACCACGTAATCCCCGCACGCCGGCAATTCAGTTATACTAGAAACGTAGGGAGTTTGATTGACAACCTAACAGCCAATAGATAAAGAGGGAGCCTCTTTTTCTATTGGCTGATGTTTATCTGGCCTCACTACGTCCACAGTTGATAGATTTTCATTCTTTTTTTTTTTTTTGGTCATAATTCCAAGGCTGCTGCGTCTCTGTAATGGTATTTTAAACTTTTACTGACAATTTGAAACAAAAAAAAAAATCCTCCATACAACCTTTAACTAAACTTAATTAGGCAGTTGCCAGTAGATGACAGTCATTAGAAGGTGTCCAACACAAAATGCAGTATTAGTAATAATTACGCAATCACTGTTTGGTTTCCTCTGACATGTTGACCTGTTATCTCCAGTCCTTCACGTCAGCGCCCTCGTCACATTCTCTGCGTGTGAACCCTGAGCTGCTGTAACCATCTCCTCTTCACTGAGCTCATGTGATTTTAAACTTGGAGAGGCTTTAACACGTTTAGCTGCCCTGGACAGCACCTCTCCTCCATCCCGCCATCGCTCCACTCCTCTGCTGCGCTCTGATTCATTTCTCAGGCCTGTCCCGGCTCCTTTGTGGGCCTTTAGTGCCTGTGTGCTGTGGGGGCTCCGGAGCGGCCCCCGGGGGTCACGGGAAGGGGCCCTCTGTTTAAACACAGTTGCCTGCTCTGAGCATTCCACAGGCCACAAACAGGTGCTAAACTAGGCAGACGGTGACGGATTGCCACCACCAGAGAAAGAAATATGTTTTGTTGATTCGATTTTTGTTTTTCATCACCGCCGTCGCCACGGAAACAGCCCACACAAAGGGATTATGCTCGGGCCTGACACCCTCCTCTGCACACACGGCCACCAGCGGGACAATGAATCAAAGGGCTGCGTGTTTACCCAGGCAGGGAGGGCTCCTCTGGGGTAACAGGGCCCGGATCACTCTCAGGGCCGATAACCCCACAGGACGGGGGCCTCACAGCGCTAATTAAGCACACTAATTTCATTAGGCTCGCCCGAGGGTGGCAGAGGGGGGCGAGCGGCGCGCACTGCCCAGAGACGAGCTGCACAGCGGGGCGTCTGGCTCTGAGAGCGGCCTGCAGCAGCTCAGGCCTGAGGCTGGTTCACAAGTCCAGACCAGCGCTCGCAGACGGGGTTAAAGGGCGTGTAATCAGTCAGTAACGTTTAGCAAATACTAAATAGTGTGTCACTTCAGCTGTTTGATGGAATGTCTGTAATTGTAGACGTTTTACTGGAAGTGTTGGGAAGTAAATGAACACATGTACTGAAAATACAGATTCAGAATTCTACTTTTGATTAAGTGTATTCGGGCACAGTTACTCTTTTATTTAGTGATATTCAGAATACACTTACTTTTCTAAAATCTATGGCAGTACTCTACAGTTTTTTCAGAATTAGTGAGAAAAACAGAAGGCTGATCTTGTGATTTTTCAACTCTAGTTAGACATAAATATATGACAACAAAAATAAAGCTGTTAGTAATTATAGATCACATAATTATATGTCATGTTAAACTATGATATTATGTAACTCGATACAAAAGTATTCAGAGTATTCAGAATATCCTACTTTAGACCAAGGTTCATAATAGAGATTTTAATGCAGGTGTTTAGTATTTAAAGCATCTTTCCCATCACTGATTACAGAGTCTGTAGAACATTGATTGACATTGGCTTCTGCCCTACAAAGACAAAAGAGCTTAACTCTAGTGTGAAACTGAGAAAAATAACAAAAGTATAATAAGGTAATTTGACAACTTGTTGCAATAATGAAGAAATGTTTATATGTGAAAAATATTGAGCTCAAAATTGACCTTTTGTATCATGAGCCAAAAATAAGGAGTTGTGCAAAGGCAAAAGGCAGAAAGTGACATGATCATTATTTGCTTGATTTTCTCCAGACTTCTGTCCATTAAAAGAAAAACACCTCACCAAGGTCGAGTCGTCATGGTGTTTGTTTGAAATGATATAGAAGAGTTTTAGATTTCCTGTTTAGTGCTGATCAGGAACTTGCACAGTGAAACAGTTTGACGCATTAAGTGACTTTGCAGTATAGTTTGTACAGTCTGAATAAATACACAAAATACTTTCACATTAAAGATGATTTAAGTATGATTGAATACAACTGATGGTGTATTTATTGAAGTAAATAAGTAGGTAAGCAAGTAATTTACTTATATAGTACGTTTCACAGACATTTGTCACAAAGACACTTTACAGAGCAGTATTCAGCATTATTCATTCACTTCATACCCGTTGTTGTTGTGGTAAACTACTGTTGAAGCCACAGCTGCCCTGGGACAGACTGACTGATTGGCGCCATCGGCCTGTCTGACCACCACCATCACTCACGCACACTCCACTTTCATACTAGGCAATGTTGGTGAAGTGCATTGCCTAAGGACACAATAACAGTTTTTTTTTTTTTTTTTTTTGTGACTGACGCCCACTGTGGCACCTGATTTTCTCAGCGGTTTCCCATTCAAGTACTAACCAGGCCCAGCCCTGTTGAGCTTCTGAGATCTGACAGGATCAGGCTTGGACAAGCCGGCATGGCAACAATTTCATTTAATTTAATTATTAATTTAATTGAATGTGTTAAGACCCTGTGTCAAGGCCGCAATAAATAGGAGGTGAGAAAACAAAATAT